GTGAGGTGTCTGGTTAGGAATCTCTTGGGGCTTTTTTTGCTCTATTGCGAAAAATTCACACTGTTGTGGCGTTAAGAATGAACTTTAAAAAAACTTTCAGAAGGAGAAATTGAATTGAAGTGATTTGAAACAAAAAGATAGCTTGATTTTTTCAGGAAAATACCCCACTTGGACAAAAATTCTCCAAAATATCTTCTTTGAAAAGTTCTGGCTACTGCACTCAGTTTATTCTTTTTGCTAAATTTCTTCGTGAAGAATCTAGTTTAATGGTTTTTATCATCAGGGCGGAAAGGAAGAAAGCACCATTGTCGCGACTATGGTGGTTCTGGTTATGTAGCTGGTTCGAAAGCGATGTGCCTGAAGGAGCGTTACGAAACGAATGGGATTGGCCTTTTCCCGGCCCGTCTTGGATGCATCGTCTTGTACATCGAATCAGCGATAAGCTACAGTAGCGGAATAGCAAGCAGCAGGACTTAGATAAAGCAGCCGAACGTCTGATTCTTGTGAATTTTCAGCCTGAAGCATCTGACTGGTTATCTGCTTAACATTTTTTCTGACATGCCCAAAGCAGCAGACATTTCTTTGCTCAGAGCGTCATCTTTATTAGCTTCTAGATATAATGATCGTCATAACTGTGCAGTGAGAATGAGCGAAATGAGAATTTGAGGACGTCAGAAAGGCTATCGAAACTAATATATGTGGAAAAGTTAGCAGTGCTAATGCCATCAAACAAGTAGCAAATCGGAATGTATGAAGGTCACCAAAACCGGAGTGTTTGGCAGAATAATTATTAGTAATGTGTATGTCGCTCTGTGTGAATGCGTGTAAGTCATGACTCATTCCAAGTGTGGTAGTGGAGAAAGTTAAAACTCACCACCGTAGTGTCCTTATTTCTCATCTGATTTAGCTAAATGTGTGCTGTGTTAGGAATTTAGAAATCGAAAGGCAGAAGTACCATCTGGAATAACCGGAGCAGCTTGTAATTCATAGTTTGGCTCTTCATCTGTGTGGCTG